TCGATCTCATTAAAATGCCAACCTAAACAACTCAATACCTTACTCGATTATCTCTTTCAGGAAGAGGACAAATAGATCTGACCCATAACCTCTATTTCTAGCAAGTTATAGACATCAAACCTAAATTGCTAGTATCAAAGTAATTACCCACTTTAATGAAACGAGTATCAACCAGAGATCAGAAGTAGGAATTAAATTTGAAACCTTAACCCATAAATTAATTTCATTCTAATTAGACCAAATTCTTGTATAACAACAACGAAATAGAGCATAACACAATATCCACCGCATTAAATCAACACTCAATCCCATAATTGCACCCCTAGATCTTGAGGTTTTAGCCACCCATCACAAAATATAAACAAATTATTCCTTTAATAAAAGTAAAACAAGTACCGTGAAATTGGGAAATTACAAGTAAATCTACTTTGGATTACTACAATTTATCAATTTCAAGCACAAAGTTGTAAAACCCCAAAAGGTGGAAAAAGTGTTCTTTAAAGGTAAAATGTTCTCTCTCTAAACTCTTCACACACACTTTAATATGATATTATCTATTCTAAGATTTGATCTTTAATTTGTATTTTTCTGGATATATATAATTTCCCAAAATTCATTACCTGACTAAATAAATGACATTAGTTGAGCTTGCTCCTCAACTTGCCTTTTGATGGTCTAGGATTCAGGTGTTTGAACCTAAGTTGGTGCACTAGATTGAGTCAGCCTTTCACGTTTGATGAATTGTCGTGTACGACCTTGGCGCACCTTTGGACCATTCAGATTTTCCTCTCACGCTGTCATTTTGGGCGATGTTCATCAAGATTGCCTTTCTTATTCAGCACATCCATCCTTTACTCGAGTCCATCGACCTGATTTGATAGACATAAGTGCTATGCACTGCTATTTTGGGTGAGGTCTTGCTAAATTGGCGATCTACCCTTTATGTTAAATGATCAACAATGTGTAGTTTGCAATTCTTTTTGCGTTTTTGGTCATTCTTTCTAATATCAATTATTGCCTTGTCCAATTGCCCTCATAGCAGCAAATTATCAATATTTATCAAAATAGGAAAAATTAGGCATTTTAAGAACTAATTATGGGGTTAAATAGATCCTAAATGAGTGTAAATCTACCACTCATCAATCGAAAAGTATGAAAGTTGACAAACAAATTAAAGAAGTTTCTTTCGTAAAAGTTCTTTGGAGGAATCAGTTAGTTGAGGGCCCTACTGGAAAGGCCAAAGCCTATATGGTTGAAGTACCCCACATTTTCCCCTCAACTGTTTTAGTTTGAAGTATTAGTTCATTTTATGTATTGTTTCCAATTCATGCGTTTCGGCTATTTCCATGTTTCCCTATGCATGCATGTTCCTGAAATCAGTTTTAAACTGTATGTTTTAGCCAAAGTGGATTACTCCTCAGTTATATGAATTCTTATGCATTTTGCATTTGTGGTGGGTTGTTAGATCATTTTCCTACTTTATTCATTTGTATTTGAGTCTCATTTGAGGATAATTTTTTCGCATATGAGATATTGTAACATAAAGTTGTTGGTGCAAAGTTTCATGACAATGATTTACAGTTTGTACATGGTGTCACAACCCATGAAACCAATTGTGGTTGGTGCCTCAAGATCATATTGTACTAGACACCAGTATGGCATGAGGTTCGCAATACGAGCCATAACTAATTTTGGGGTTATGATCTTCAGTCCAAGTGATTTTGATGCCTTAGAGTTTTACAACCCAACTTCACGAGGCATACTTGGAATGATTTCAATATGAGTTATATGACTAACTAGTACGAGTAATGAAGTAGAACACAGATTGAACATGCGATTTGTGGTTCAAGTCATGAACCCAAGTGATTTTACAAGATTTCATTCTACAAAGAAAGTTGTACAGATCGTATAAGGAATTAAGGTTTATAGAAATGGTTCATGATTACAGAGATGTGAAAGTTCATAAGGATGATACAACCTGTAGGATTTTATACATACCATAAAAGGTTATCGGTCACTATCCATTAGTTATTTCTTAAGGTTATTTGAGATTTTTCCTACTCTTTTAGTTCTTATACTACATTGTTTTGGTTTTATATTGAAGGAATATAACTGATTTTAAGACCCTAACCTCTCTCGTTTACTCTCATTCTCTCAAACTCCAAAATTCTCTCTAGTCTTCTCTCCTAAGGAATCAAGGAATTCATAGAGCTTCAAGTCTTTTCTTCCAAATTTAAATCCTGGGTTTTATCAAGTTATGTGAAAAATTCATCAATGAATTCTTCTACACCCATTGAGTCCCAAAGAAATCTCAATATCTATACTTACGATTCTTATCCAAATTTCAGGGTTTAATGATTTTGTTATGCGTTTAATTGAATTTAAGTTTATAATCATGATGATCTTATTATCCTTGATTTGATCATAATTCGATGTTTTCAATGAACTCAACTATGCAAGTATTTTAAAATATGAATTCAATTTATGTTGATATATATGCAGTATGATATAAAGATTTTATGAACTGAAGTTTCTTTTAGATAAAAGGGAAAATGCACAAGTACCCCCTCAACCTATGCCCGAAATCACAAAGTCACATTTATATTATACTAGGGTCTTATTACCTCTCTGAACTTATTTTATAAGTAATTTTCTACCCCTTTTCGGCCTACGTGGCACTATCTTGAAAAAAAAGTCAACCAGAGTTAGGCCCACAAGATAGTGCCACATATGTCAAGAAGGGGTAGAAAATCATTAATAAAATAAGTTCAGGGGGGTAGTAGGACCTTAGTATAGTATAAGTGTGTCTCTGAGATTTCGGGCATAGGTTGAGAGGGTACTTGTGCATTATCCCTAGATAAAATATATCAGTTTTATGAATATATAATGTTTCTGATTGTTCTCATTTTGAAATATACCATGATTTAGATGCTTTAGATAAGTGTCTCAATGAGTATGTTATTAATCATGATTTGGAAGAACTATTATTTTAACTATAAGATTATGTTATGAATAATTGGGTATGACTAGATTCTTACTATTTCACATGCCATGAATATGAATATAATTATGATTATGCATATTTTTCTTTGTGATTTTACTTTGCACCGAGTAGATCTTGGGATGAAGTCTCGCCTATTAGTAGAGGATTGAAACCTTTTGAAGCAGTGTCATTGTCCTAGAACTACATTCCCTTATAGAACTTAATGTTAATTAACTATAGCTAGTTGATCCACCTAAGCTCATGATTATGGTCCTTAACTTGACAAGTAGGACTTTTTTTTTGCGTAGGAGCAATACATCAAACTTCATGTTATAACTCACATGACTCTTATCAGTTAACGAAGTCTCCTACAAAAGACTTATAATTATAACTTATATTATGATTATGATTTTTAGAATATTTTTTTTGGCCTTGTACTTTATTTTCAGAATTAGATATCAATTTTCATTTCATGTTTACTTGATTATTACATTATAATGTTTTCAGATTTATCACGTTCTTATGTTATGTCCATGCATCTTTTCTTATGCTCAGTACATTCTATTCTAAGTACTGTCTGCATACATTTCTTGTGCCTGCAGTATTTTATATTATAGGGTCTGACACATCTCATCTTGCTTGCGGTTAGCACAGACTCTGATCAGCCTAGCACAAGTTTGGTGAGTTCTCATGGTTCAGGGACCTTTCCACACTTATGCTTATATGTTATTCTGACTTATTTCAGTTTCAGATTGTTCAAGTGAGTTAGGTCTTATTCTAGTCACTTATTACGTAGTAGAGACTTGTTGTCAAATATTAGTCTTTTCACATTATGATCTTGTACTGGATTTCACTATTATGTTGAGCTTATCATTTGAGACTTATATTCCACTTTGATGTTATTTTAATTATGTTGTTATCTTAGTGTCATGTTATGCCATGTGGTTAAGCTTAGTGTCTCTCAGGATTTTAGGTACTATGTCACATTTGGGGTAGTCTTGTGTTGTGGCATTTATTTTCATAGATAGCCCTCAATTTAGGTTATCAGCTCAAGGAAAAAAGGTGACATTCTAAAGATAGCCTTCAGGACTTGATATGATCACTATGAATTTTCGATTATGTCTTTTAAAATAATGAACGCGTTTGCAATTTTTATAGATTTGATGAACTAAATGTTCACATAAAATTTGAATATTTTCATCATTGTGTTCATATTTGACATCTTAATCTATTCTCAGAGCAAGGATGAACATGTCGATCATTTGAGGAGATATTGTCTTGCAAGTTCTCAAAGACCATCAATTATTTGCTAATTTTAGAAATTGTTAATTTAAGTTGAGGTCGGTAGAATTCCTAGGCCATGTAGTCTCACGATAAGGTATTTAAGTTGATCCGAAGAGCACTAATGCAGTTAAGAATTGTCCTAAGCCTTTTTCTCCTTAAGATCTTACGAGTTTTTTAGGTCTAACCGGTTACTATGGATGATATGTGGAAGTATATTCCTCTCTTGCTTCTCCTTTGACTACCTTGACTCAAAAGAAAGTGAAATTTTGGTCTTCCAAAGCTTGTGAAAGAGTTTTCAAAAGTTGAAGACTCAACTAGCTTCAACCCAATTTTGACTCTATCGGAAGGTTTAGATGGTTTCATTGTGTATTGTGATGCCTCCAAAATTGATTTTTCTTGTGTGTTGGATGCAAAATGATACGACCATAGCTTATGCTTCTGTGCATCATGTCACGTCTAGGGATAGTTCTGACTTGTGATACTCGTAATGTATACTACATTTAAGTTATATACAACAATTCGGGTGTATTATAATGTTTAGTTAAGTTATATTCTAACATTTTTGAATATATCATAATAATTTATAATGAGTGTTTCATGATTTATTTGGTTTAAATAATTATGGAGTAGTATTTTATTTTTTTGGAAAAATAATAAATGGTGTTGGTTCGAAAATAGATAAAGCAAAAAATTGGGCTTGGCCACGATGTGTTTATTGGTAGGGAAGAGAAAAGAGTTGCGTGTAGAAGAAAAGCGCGTGGTTTGTGATAGTAGTTCCAACTAGAAGTGAAAAAGAGATACAGGCCAAGCCCTTCCACACATGCACTGTTTACGTCTCTGCACACACACTCTCTCTCTCTCTGCCTACTTGCACTGTCCATCTAACTATTTTTGTTTGACAAACAAGGAAGAAACCCATTTGGTTCAATTGCATTTACAATACAGTATGTTCTCTGTTACTATTTCTTATCCAGATTTAACACTTTGATGAATAGCTTGTAGTATATGAAGAGAATTGCAGTTTATACTGGTAAATTATTCATTCATGTTGTTTATAAATTACTCCATTCTCATTCTTATTCTCAATAACCAAGACTCCTCAACAAATTGGATTCAAGGAATTTTTTTTAGTCTTCCAATTATGCTTATTTGTAATCTCTAATTGATAATTTCATACTAGTGGTGACTGGCTTTCATTTTATGCTTCCAATTTTAAGTTTTTATCACTTGCAATTCTGGGTTTGTTTTGAAGATGCTGAATTTTGGTATATTTGAATGGATAGTACCCAGGTTTAATATTTTTTTTTTGTTGCTATTTTTCAGATTCAACTTTACTACTGTGGCATTTTTGTTTTTAATCTCAAAGAGGTGCTGCTTATAAGTTAGGAGAAAATTTTGTTCGGCTATTTGAATGTAAGAAGCTTGTGATGAATTATTTGGTAGCTTTGGGGAGTGGGTTTGTCTCGGTTTGGTGTTTATAGTTATGGGTTGTGTTTATTCAAGAGCTTGCATTGGGGAGATTTGTGCACCAAGGAATGTGGATGTTAAAGAGCCGGAAAATGTGAAACCTGCTGAAATTCCTGTATTTTCACCTGCTTCATCAAATGGGGAAGATGGAGAAACTAGAGATCAGCTTAATCAATTAAGTCTATCTAGGGACAATGAAATTGGTATAACCAGACTTTCTAGAGTGTCTGCACAATTTTTGCCACCTGATGGTTCACGGGTTGTAAAAGTTCCATCAGGTAATTATGAACTACGATGTTCGTTTTTATCTCAAAGAGGGTACTATCCTGATGCCCTTGATAAAGCTAATCAAGATAGTTTATGCATTCACACTCCATTTGGAACAAGTCCAGATGATCATTTCTTTGGTGTTTTCGATGGCCATGGAGAGTATGGAGCTCAATGCTCCCAGTTTGCGAAAAATAAAATTTGTGAAAATTTGCTTAGGAACAGTAAATTTCATTTAGATGCTGTGGAGGCATGTCATGCGGCATTCTTGATGACCAACTCGCAGTTGCACGCTGACGCTATAGATGATAGCATGAGCGGAACAACTGCAATTACTATACTCGTACGAGGTACGACACTTTATGTCTCTAATAGCGGTGATTCAAGAGCTGTTATAGCCGAGAGACGGGGTAACGAAGTCATGGCTGTTGACCTTTCAATTGACCAAACACCATTTAGGCCTGATGAGAGTGAGCGGGTTAAGCTCTGTGGAGCAAGAGTTCTTACACTGGATCAGATTGAAGGATTGAAAAATCCAGATGTGCAATGTTGGGACACTGAAGAAGGTGATGATGGTGATCCTCCTAGGTTGTGGGTGCAAAATGGAATGTATCCTGGTACGGCTTTTACAAGAAGTATAGGTGATTCTGTCGCTGAGACAATTGGTGTTGTTGCAAATCCTGAAATTGTTGTTTTGGAGCTCACCTCAGATCATCCTTTCTTTGTGATTGCCAGTGATGGGGTATTTGAGTTTCTTTCCAGCCAAACTGTGGTGGACATGGTAACAAATTCTTCTTTCTCTTTCTATTCCTATATCTGTATGTTCTATTTATCCAACAAGTGGACTTGAAATTAGTCTGTTTTTTACTAATGGTAAATAAAGTACTTTGGACTCTTGAGAACTTCGTCTATTTGCTTGACATGTGTGATTATCTGGTTATATCTGAATTACTGTTAAGGAAATGTGCAGACTGTTGAAATTAGTTAGAGGCTGCCGTAAGACCGTTGCCCAGTTTTTACATCCATAATATGGGAAGATATAACTCTGTGCGAAACTATATTTTATCGACTAACCACAAAAGGATAGCTCATCTAAACCTTCAGTACACATTAATTCCCCAACCTATTTAGGAATAATACAGGGCAAAACTATATTCTGACAAAAGGAAATATCTGACAAAAACAAAATAGCTTACCATATACAACTCAAAAAAAAAAAATAGCTTACCATAAAGTACTCTTATGTTTTTATTATAATGGAACATCTTTTCTTTTGGGGGCATTTGAAGTTTGATGAAATCTATACGTTATTCATAAACTGTACACCTGACTCCACAATTACTGCAATGAAATCTTTTACATCCAATACAATCTCTTAGTTTTTTGTGTATTTCAACTCTACATAAGATCAGTGTTGGGGTGAATTAATCGAGCTCTGTTGATTAGTTCAGGATGCTAGTGGGAAACAAAATTATAGAGCGAGTTTAAGACTATGCTGCACACATTTTTTAATATATTGCAATCCAGAAGGATAAAAGCAGTGTCTCATTTTCACATTTGGGCAACATCCTCTTGAACTGCTTTCCCGAAGATAGAGAAAAGAAAATGTAGCTCTGGAACTTTCAGCACTTCTCGACCATTTCATACCTTATATTGTAAATTATTGACCCAATTGAGACGTAATTGATTGATTGAGTGATATTGTAATTTTTGTTGGTACAAATAAATGACACGTGTGATTTTTGGAGTTGACTAGAACCAATCGACCAGGATTAAGTTCTTCAATAGAAAATAATGCATAGAATCCATAGATGGTCTGATTTCAAGAACAACAAAGGACGTAGAAGTCGAAATCAAGTGATCCCAGAACGAGGTGGAAGATGAGATTCTAAACTAGGAAGATGAGATTCTAAACTAACAAATAACTACTTGTTCAAAACAAGCAAAGAATGACTGCCAAACAAGTTGGAACAAGTTCTGATTGTCGAATATTAAGATGGATGAAATTATATAAGAGATGGACATATTTTAGGAAGGTAAAAGATAGATTGGAAACCCAGCAACCACCACAACTTAGCCTAGAGGACAAACCACTGCCTAGATGTTTAAAGATTCACAAATATCCACTACTTGAAGTAATATGGAGAAAATATTATTGAATTTGCGCATCTAAATTGTTACATGAAGACCCTATTTATAGACACTACATTGGAAACCTTTTCCAACTAGAATTCCTATTCTAAGTAAGAAATACTTATTCCTATTCTAACACTCCCCCTTAAGCTGGTGCATACAAATCATATGCACCTAGCTTGTTACAAATGTAATTAATACGAGGACATGTGAGAGACTTGGTGAACATATCTGCAAGCTGATCATTTGACTTCACAAATTTTGTAACAATATCTCCTGAGAGTATCTTTTCTATAACGAAGTGACAGTCAATCTCAATGTGCTTAGTCCTTTCATGAAACACTGGATTTGATGCGAGATGAAGACCCGCATGACTATCACACACAAGTTCCATCTGATCAATTTTACCAAATGTTAGTTCTCCCAGTAACTGTTTGAGCCAAACTAACTCACAAGTTGTTGTCGCCATTGCTCGATATTCTGATTCTGTACTAGATCGAGCAACCACATTTTGTTTCTTACTCTTCCACGACACCAAATTACCTCCAACTAAAACATAATATTCGGATGTCGAACGTTTGTCAGAGGGTGATCCTGCAAAATTAGGTCTGTATATACAATTATATGCTCATGACCTTGATCCTCAAAGAGTAGTCCTTTGCCGGGGGCTGACTTTATATAACAAAGAATACGAACAACTGCTTCCCAATGACTATCACAAGGGGAAGTCATAAACTGACTTACAACACTCACGAGAAAAGAGATGTTTGGTCTAGTCACTGTGAGATAATTCAACTTTCCAACAAGTCGTCTATACCTTTCAGGATTACTAAGTGGCTCCCTCTGTCCCGTAAGAAGTTTAACATTCGATCCATCGGAGTGTCAATAGGTCTACATCCCATTATTCCTGTCTCCTCGCGAATGTCTAAGGCGCATACTTGCATTGAGAGATAACAATGCCTGATCTAGACTGAGCAACCTCAATACCTAGAAAATACTTCAATCTGCCAAGGTCTTTAGTCTGAAAGTGCTTAAAAAGATGTTACTTTAAATCGGTGATACCATATTGATCATTATTGGTGATAACAATATTATCAACATAAACAACCAAATAGATACATCGACCTAGTGCAGAATGTCGATAAAACACAGAGTGATCAACTCCACTACGAGTCATGCCAAACTCTTGAATTACTGTGTTGAACTTCCCAAACCAAGCTCGAGGAGACTGTTTCAAACCATAGAGTGACCTACGCAATCGACATACAAGGCTACTAGACTCCCCCTGAGCAACAAAACCAGGTGGTTGCTCCATATAGACTTCTTCCTCAAGATCACCATGCAGAAAAGCATTCTTTATGTCCAACTGATAAAGAGGCCAATGACGAACAACAACCATAGATAGAAAAAGACGAACAAATTCTATTTTAGCCACAGGAGTGAAGTGTCACTATAATCTAGCCCAAATATTTGAGTATACCCTTTGGCGACAAGGCGAGCCTTAAGTCGATCAACCTGACCATCTAGACCAATTTTGACTGCCTAAACCCAACGACAACCAACAATAGATTTACCTGCAGGAAGGGAGACAAGCTCCCAAGTACCACTCTTATGTAAAGCAGACATCTTATCAACCATAGTCTGCCTCCATCCAGAATGAGAAAGTGCTTCACCTGAAGTCTTAGGAATGAAAACAGAGGTCAAAGACGACACAAAGGCATAATGGGGTGATGATAGACGATGATAACTTAAGAAGGTATAATGCTGGTTAGTATTTCGAGTAGATCGTATACCTTTTTGAAGTGCAAGCGGTGGGCTAGGTAGAGGCAAGTCCGCAGTAGGAGCAGGGTCTGGCGCATGACATGAATCATCTGGGATTAGGGTTGGACGTGGACGACGATGATAAGTTAGTAGTGGTGGCACTGCAACTGGAGATGTAGACATAACTGTAGATCCCTCAAAGGTTGGCACAGGTAAAACTTGAGGTATGGGTAAGACCATAGAGACATCAGTATGATCAGAAGATTTATAGTAAGGCTGAGACGCAAAAAATGTAACATCAGCGAACATAACGTGTCGATGAAGATCATGTGAATAACAATAATACCCTTTTTGAACTCTAGAGTAACCAAGAAAGACACATTTGAGGGCACGAGGAGCTAATTTATCTTTCCCTGGGGCTAAATTATGAACAAATCATGTGATCCTAAAGACACGAGGGGGAATAGGATAGAGATGTGACTGAGGAAACAGTATGGAATGTGGAACTTGATTCTGAATAAACGAAGGCGGCATTCTGTTAATTAAATAACAAGCTGAAAGGACTGCATCGCCCCAAAAACGCAGCGGAACATGAAATCCAATGAGGAGAGTGCGAGCAGTCTCTATGAGATGCCTATTTTTTCTTTCTGCGATACCATTTTGTTGAGGAGTGTATGGACAAGATGTTTGGTGAATGATTCAGTGGTGAGACATACATTACTGAAATTGGGATGATAAGTATTCTAAGGCATTATCACTACGGAAAGTACGAATAGAAATATCAAATTGATTTTGTATTTCAGCAAAGAAACTTTTGAAAATAGAAAATAACTCGGAACGATCTTTCATTAAAAAAACCCAAGTACATCTTAAATAATCATCAAGAAACGAACAAAATAACGAAATCCTAAGGTGGAACTGACTCTACTAGTACCCAAATATCAGAATGAACTAATGAAAAAATAGACTCTGATTGACTCTCAGTACTACGAGAAAACGTAGCACGAGTGTGTTTCCCAAGTTGACACGACTCACAATCTAATGTAGATAAACTAGACAATTTAGACACCATCTTTTGCAGTTTGGATAGACTCGTATGTCCCAAACGCTTGCGAATTAGATTTGGGGAATCTATAACGGAGCATGCTGTCAAGGAATTTGAAGAGGTAAGATAGTAAAGGCCTTGTGATTTATGTCCTGTTCCAATCAATAGTCCCGTGCTGCGGTCTTGTATGAGAAAAAAATCATCGAAAAAAGTTATGCTACAATGTAGGGATCTCGTCAAACGACTAACAGATGCTAGATTAAAAGGAGAACAAGGAACATAAAGAATATAGTCTAGGGTGACAGAAGATAGGGGTTTGGCTTTTCTAACCCCTTTTGGTTTTGTCTGGATCCCATTGGCTAAAGTAATAGCTGGAAGAGATTGCGAATAAACAATATCGGATAAAAGTGATTTATTACCAGAAATATGATCAGAAGCCCCATAGTCCACGACCCATGTTCCAACAGTACTAGATTGCGACACATAAGCAAAAGAATTACACGTGACAAACAAATTATGTTGTGAAACCGAAACTACTTGTGGAGACGTTTGCTTATTTGCACTATACTGAAGAAATTCATCATAATCTGAGCAATATGAGCATTATTGGATGGTTGATTAGGTTGACCACCATATGCTACTGGTGAGATGACTGTTTACTTGCACGATTTCAAAGAAACTCATTATATTCCTTTAGAACAAGAGGATCATAACTGGGTGGTGGACCATGCAAAATATGACATATGTTACGAGTGCGTCCAGACTTATGACAATGACTACACTTGGATCGAGGTTTCCCAAAACGTCCTCCCCCTCGCCGATTCTCCGTAGAGTAATATGTACACTTTTCAAAGGTTTGAGATGTGAGAATAGAGGAGTCAACAGTGGGTGATGAAATGACTTTGTAACTAGGAGGTGCCGCAGGACGAAGGAGGCGAGAGAATAATTCATCGATTGTAGGAACTGTAGGGCTAGCTAAAATCTGATCACGCATAGAATCATTATCAGGAGGAAGTCCAACAAGAGTAAGAACTAGAATCAATGTTTGTCTATGTTCTTGTTGTTTTTCCACATCCGTAGTTACTGGCATCAACGTGTCGAATTCCTCCATGACTGCCTATACCTGTCCCAAGTAAGTAGACATATCAGATTCTTGTTTCTTTAAGTTGGTCAATCGAGATATCACATCATAGAATCGAGAGATGTCATTAGTGTATAAAGCACGCGCCTTTTCACAAACTGTATAACACGTTTGGAATGGCCAAAACAAGGGCATCGATTTGGAATCAATCGAACGCCATAGGAGACTACATAATTGAGCATCTACTTCTCCCAATGTGCTTTGACTTTTGCATCTTCCTCACTAGCCTTTGCCTTTACATCTACCACATAAGTCTTGTTCGTTAAGTGATCGTGCACACCTTGACCGTTGCACCACAATTCAACTGACGAAGCCCAAGATAAATAGTTTGAACTTCCCAATAGAAGTTCTGAAGTGATTATAGGGCTAGAATTTCCAATCCCTATAATTTAAGAACAAAAAACATCACATCCAAAAGACATTATGCTAAATTTGTCTCGGAAACAACAAAAAAATCTTGATTATTGAGATCTGATCGTCGAAAAATCCAAATCCCGAATTTTTTTTTGCTGGAAACAGCCTGAAAATAGCCGGAACCCTTATTCCGGCGATCGAATCTGGTCGAAATCAGAACAAAAATTACATAGTCAGCCTCGGAATGAAGAGGCGACTCACATAGAAAAAAAATTGTCAAAAAAACTGGCCGGTAAAAGTCACCACGCGCCGGTGCATGGGTCTGACAGTTCACCGGCGAAAATACTACTGGTGGCGCGTGACGGCGCGTGTAGCACTGGTTTCCGGTGGGGATAACTGGGCTTTGCTCGCTGGAAAATTCCACAAATAGTGGTGGTGTCAATTTTATGAAAACAGTGAAGGAAAATAATAATTATCCGGACAGCAACTAGGTTACCGGAAATTTTTTTTCTCACAATTGCTCTGATACCATGTGAGAAATATTGGAGAAAATATTATTGAATTGCATATCTAAATTGTTACATGAAGACCCTATTTATAGACACTACATTGGAAACCTTTTCCAACTAGAATTCCTGTTCTTATTCCTATTCTAAGTAAGAAATACTTATTCCTATTCTAACAAGTTGCAACTTCCTACATTGAAGTTCATGGTTTATCTGCGCTTTGGGCTTAAAGATCCAGTAGACCTCAACACTTCTTTTTCCGCTTTCCATCTTTGATTACATTGGTGCATAAGACCTAAGATTAGGTGTTGTGCAAGATGAGGGCTCACTGAACCAATGTCTTAATATAGGCACCAAGAGGCACAACTCATCAACACAGTCTCTATCTTGAAGCGTCATTTTGTTTTATAAAATTGAACAGACATTAATAGTCAATAAATATTGCTTGCGAATTGATATGAGAACTGTTAATATATGTTACATATGTTAGTTGATTAAGACTAGAAAATATACGGTAAGAATCTAGTCATTAGATTGGAACTTAAAGTTGCCCCAAGGTTTTGGTTTAACGGTAAAGATACAATGTTGTATGTGTGGTAGACAAACATCACTAGTTTGAATTCTGTTGGTGAACCATGATTAAAATACAAGTGGAGAAGAGAAGATGAGGGCCTACTATCCGCTGAGTTTTGAAACTATAAATAATGGTTTTCTTGATTATAAAGAAAGTCATATCAGAAGCTGCATCTATTCATCTGAATAAAAATCTTAGAAGGAATTTAAACTTAAACAACACAATTTTAATGTTAACTGCAGTTCTACAATTCCTTTGTTCTTATAATTGCTGTTTGTTTATACTTATTTTCTCATGCATTACTTTATACTTCTTCACTTAAGCTCGCGCTTTAGTTTTGCACATAAAAAGGCAGTAAAGCAGCTACATTTATAGGCATTTCTCCTTTGACAACACTAGATGTAGTGTAATCATAATCCATGAGGTCACTTTTGGTAGCAATACCATTTATTAGAAGGATATTTCTGGTAAAGTAGCATAAACGAAAATTTACCTTAATCTATACAAAAGTCAGCAAAACAGGGATTTTATACTTAATTATGTAGATATCGCTATGTATTTCCTTACTTTCTTTTTGCCGTTTTTGGAGTAAAAAGTAGAAGGAGCAGTTGATTTCATTAGCTCTCTATGCAATCTGTGAGAGCTACTTTGGTTTACTCAGTGGTCTATATCAGCATACTCTTACTGCTAATACATTTTTTTATAAAGTAAGTAGTATTAATAACAGCATCAACAAGATATATATATATATATATATATATAAAATTTTACCTTGACAAAAAGTAAGACATAGCATATATATATATATATATATATATATATATATATATATAATTTTACCTTGACAAAAAGTAAGACATAGCAGGGGATACTACTGCTGCACTGTTACTAAAGGAATGATATAAATTTTACTTAAAAGAGTTCCAGAAGCAGTTATTTGTGCTACTCAAAACAACTGAACTAACACAGCTCTAACAACAGTTTATTGATGTTTAAACCAAAAAACTGCAAAGAAAATTTCTCAAGAAAAAAAGTTCTTTTGGATCCCAAAGGCTTTATCTATCCATTGATGCATCCTGTGTCTTTGTTTCCATAAGCTGGAGTATGGGCCAACTCGCATGCACCTTGACTATACTGGGTAACTATATCCACCAAGGCTTGAGCTGATAGGAAGAAATCACCTAGATATTTTTGCCTCCTGGGATTTGAATTTAAGACCTCATGGTTCCCTAGCCACTTCATTGACCACTAGGCCTTACCGTGGGTATGCTTGGTGTTTAACTGCCAATTAGTTAAACACTTGTAGGCTTATTATTCATCATTTTTATGTTGTTCTTCTGTTGTATAACACCAGTTTGCTCTCATGTAAGTTTTCTCTGTCTCTAATATTTCTGCGTGTTCCACCTCAACAAGTCTCCTAAGATCAGTTGAGAATGTCGACATGATGCAAGCACGGTGTTTACTCTGTTTTTGTGTTTTTCCTGCTAATAATCCACATCCTATCAATGACCTTGTAGGTCACAAAGTATAAGGATCCGCGTGATGCTTGTGCTGCAATTGTTGCTGAGTCATACCGTCTTTGGCTACAGTATGAAACACGCACAGATGATATTACCGTGATAGTTGTACAAGTGAATGGATTGACTAATGTAAGATGTTTTCTTTGCTTTGATTTCTCTGTTCGGAATTATTCTATACTTTCTGTAATTTAAAAATGTTCACTCATTACATTTAATTTATTGTCAGGGTGCGGTTGGCCAATCAGGAAGTTCTGATGTTGCTTTACGACCACCGTTGCCTCAGGTTGTGGAATTATCTGGATCAGAATCTCCATCAGTTATGAACTGGAATTCTAGGATTCAACGTGCCAGGCAAGATATATCTCGGGCACGACTGCGTGCTATTGAGAGTTCCTTAGAGAATGGGCAGATATGGGTTCCCCCATCTCCAGCCCATAGGAAGACATGGGAAGAAGAAGTAACCGTTCTTTCTTTATTTATTTCCGTTTGATATGCTGTTCTGGAAAATAAAGAATCTTATAACCCACTCCCTCAATTGTTATCAGTTTAATTGATCTCATGGTTGAACAGTAAATCACATCTCTGTTTCACAGGCACAGATTGAACGGGTTTTGCATGATCATTTTCTTTTTAGAAAGCTTACAGATTCTCAGTGTCAAGTTTTGTTGGATTGTATGCAAAGAGTTGAGGTTCAAGTTGGAGACGTTGTAGTCAAACAGGTAAATTCTCTTAATAGAGTTTTGATCCAGCAATATAATTTTGTTAAAGAACCTCCAATATCAAAAGCACAGTAGTCTTATAACTTTTCCTGTATTTTTGTTCTTAGAGGATTTCAATTTTTATATTTCATGTTTGAGGAAGAAACATGTGATCACTTACAATTTCTTGTGCACTAAATTCTGACATTTTGAGAATTCTCAGTATTACCAAACGATCAATGTTTTGCAGGGTGGAGAATGTGACTCTTTCTATGTTGTTGGAAGCGGGGAATTTGAGGTCTTAGCAACACAGGTGGGAATTGTTTTTCCGCTTGATTTTGTTTACATGTGATCATACTGACTGTGCGTGGTTTAACCATAGTCTCCGGCCAAATCATAAAATCATCAGATTCATTATTATCATGTAATGAAGCTTGTCCCAATTAATGTCTGTCATATCTAATTTGAAGTCTTCAACTTTGAATTACAAATGCCAGGATGAGGAAAACGGCGAAGCTCCTAGGGTTCTTCAGCACTACACAGCTGATAAGTTGTCATCCTTTGGGGAGCTGGCTCTGATGTAAGATATATGTTCTTTCCATTGGAATTCATTAAAATTCAAATTTGATGTCTTTCTTTGAGGGGAAAGTGAAAGACCGTGCTAGAGGGTCTATTTGCAGAACTGTTATATATTCCCCTCTAGTTTTCACTCCCAGATAAAGCCCATATGGTACTGAACAAATAACCAACCTTCAGATTATGTTATGCTAAAGCTTTGCACCAATATACTAGTTTTCTTAGTTCTTTTTGTATCCCCTCACAATCTGAAGCAGCAATTGCAATATGTCCCTTCTCTTTTTCAAACGAAGTGCTGTGTCCTATCACCTGACTTACCTGTTTGGCCATTATATCTTTCTTATGTGGTTCATAAATATTGCAAGACCATAGTACTGGTTTATTAATTGCAGTTGATTAATCCCTCCGCTCTTTGAATCATCTGTAGAATTATTTTGGCTATCTCTGTTTTGCGCTGAACTCAGTTTTACTACAGGTACAATAAACCACTCCAAGCTTCTGTCCGCGCTGTTACCAACGGAATTTTGTGGGAACTTAAACGAGAAGATTTTAGAGGAATTCTTGTGTCAGAGTTTTCTAATTTGTCTTCATTGAAGCTTCTGCGTTCTGTAGATCTTCTATCAAGATTGACGATTTTACAACTAAGTCATATTGCAGATATGGTTTCAGAAGTTCCTTTTTCTGATGGACAGACAATAGTAAATGAGGTACCTATTTCAAATTTCTTCCCTTGCCTGCTTACAGTTTGCTCCATTTAAAATGATAATTTTTCTTTATGTCAACTGCCTTCTGCTTGCGATTTTCTCTTACACATGATTTGGATTTGTTTGCAGAAACAGGAACCTTTGGGCCTATACATTATCCAGAAAGGGGTTGTAAAAATTACATTTGACATGGATTTAGTAAAATTTGAAAATGCATCAAGTCTCCTGTGTGAAAACCAGAAGCAGGATGATATACAGAACAAAAAAAGCATAACAGTCGAGAAGAGTGAAGGGAGCTACTTTGGGGAATGGACACTTCTTGGGGAACAAGTTGCCTCTTTGAGTGTCATTGCTGTTGGTGATGTGGTATGCGCTATCTTAACTAAGGAGAAGTTTGATTCAGTTGTTGGTCCTTTGGCAAAGCTCTCACAGGATGATCTTAGGTATGACAAAAGTTTAGTGAAACAGAAGTTACCAAAGCAAAAGAAAAAAGACGTCTCGTTTCTTTGTTTAACATTTTGGGTCTGATAGATGTACGATGTAAAGTGATTTCAGTCTTTGCTTTTTCTTTGCATCTATGACTAAAAATGCTTTGCAAACATTTATGTAGGACAAGGGGCCATCAAACAATTCTCTCTTCAGAATCTGTCCAAACCTTTGACACTTTGACGCTTGAAAGATTGCAGCTTGCTGATCTGGTGAGGTTCTTTTTACTTCTTCCTAATGTATTTCAGAAAACCTGTTAATAGACAGATTTTTGAATCTATTAGCTATTTGTCCAGGAGTGGCAGACTTGCTTATATTCAACTGACTGCAGTGAGATTGGCCTAGTTCGGCTAAGAGACTCAGGTTGTTTTTCTGCATTTAGTTTGTTGTTTTGTTACGGCCTCATTATTACTCTTTGTTTTTAATGCTGATATATGCAGAACACATTCCTTTGGGGGCCGTTTCTCTCTTGGTTTTACTTTGTGTCTGACCAGTAATACTTTTTAGAAACAGTTTGTGGACATACTAGAATCTTAATGATTGTATTCAGTTAAGGAATGAAAAAATTTCTCGTCTTTTTGCAGATAAGCTGTTTAGCTTGAAGAGGTTTTCAAAGCAGAAAATCAAAATGCTTGGGAAAGAAGCACAAGTGTTAAATGAGAAGAATCTATTGAAGCAAATGAATACAGTAGCTTCAGTACCTCAAGTTTTATGTACTTGTGCTGATGAAATTCATGCTGGCATAGTTCTGGACACATGCCTGGCTTGCTCTGTGGTAGCAATACTTAACAACCCCCTTGATGAGGAATCAACACGTTTCTGTGCTGCATCAGTTGTCATTGCTCTGGAAGACTTGCACAATGTAAGTTGCCTCCTGGTCCTAGTTATTATAAGCACGTGGTAATTTCAAAATTTGACTCTTCTCCTTATTTCTTCCATTATCAGAATGACATACTTTATAGAGGTGTTTCTCCTGACGTACTAATGTTCGACCAAACTGGCCATATTCAGGTAAATATTGCTCTTGTAGTGTATTGCCTTCAGAGTTTTTCTTCTGTAGACCACTATAAATGACAAGTTTCTATTACAATCTAGGCTTGCATGGTTTGTTGTATAAGAAAATTGAATTCCGATCTAGATCTCTTCACTTTTGAATGGGAAATTTTTTCTTTATCTATAGGTCCACGAGTTTGAGCCGTGGAATCAACCACTGATGCTTGTGTTAGGGTAGGCTGCCTACATTTTACTTTCTTGGGATGCGATCCTTCCCTGGATTCTGTGCGAATGCTGTATGCTTCGTGCACTGTGGCTTTCCTTTTTAAATCTTTATATTTTTAATAGACTTCCAATGTAAGACATTGCATAACCAATCGTGTGAAATATCAATACTAGGATAAAGCTAGATCTTCACTTTGGTATTACAATCTCTGTACAAGAATCTATATCTTTTTTTCATTTCATAACAATCGCTGTATAATTCATTACATAGTGTTTCATGCTTTGTTATATTGCATCGCATAATGATTCATGCTTTGTTATTTGCTACTGAACTGCACAACTCTTGTTAGAATATGAATAAGTTTATACAATCCTACAAGAATAGGAATAGGTTTACACAATCCCATTATAATAGGAATAGGTCTATACAATCCTATTAGAATAGGAGTAGGAATAGAAATAGAAATATGAATACTAAATAGTGTCCAACTTGGAAAAGAATTGTATTCTAGGGCCTATAAGTAGGTCTCTATGTAACAATGTAGATACAACAACAATTCAATAATTTTCTTTTCTTATATTTCTCACATGGTATCAAAGCTTCTATGATCTTGGTAGAAAATCAAAGAACATTCGCTGCCTGTTGGTGGCACCCATGTATGCTGCCCGTCAAGCCAATGATTATGTTATAGAAAAATTTGGGTCCTATATATCTTTCTGGTGACTATTTGTTCATATCTAATTTGTGTAGCACCATACCATCATTCCGGTGATTACTTTCTTGTATCTAATTTGTCTAGCACTGTGCCATTATTCCGGTGACGACTTTTTCATATATAATTTTTGTAGCACGTTGCCATCATTTCGGTGACTACTTTTTCATATTTAATTTGTGTAGCACTGGGCCATCATTCCAGTTACTACTTTTTCATATATAATTTGTGTAGCACCGTACCATACTTTCGGTGACAACCTTTTTTTTGCATCTGATTTGCGTAGCACCGTGCATCTCTTCGGACTACTTTTCGTATTTAATTTGTGTGGAACCGTGGATTTTTCCACACTATTTTCTCATATCTAAGCTTCATAGCATCATGTGTCTTCTCAGTGACTCCTCAGATTTGATTTACATAGTTCAATTTTTCTTTCCGGTGACTCTTCAAATCTGATTTGCGTTGGTTGTGCCATCATTCCAACTCTACCCGTATAATTTCTCTTTTTCAGCAGGGTCGTGCCATCATTCTGACCCTTATCCACATTATATTTCTCTTTTTCAATGGGGTCGTTCCATCCATTCAAACTATCCTATAGAATTTCTATTTTTTAATTGGGTCGTACATCATTCTGACCCTATCCATATAATTTTATTTTAAGATTGCGATCACTTTTAGCCATCATATCTAATACTCCAGCATATGAGCATGTTCCTGCCGGTTTTTCAGTGGCTTGTTTAGTATTGACTCATCTATTGATTTCAACATGATCCATATACTTTATACTAGATTTTGAGCACTTTGTTGCTCCGGGTAGTTTAGTAGCCTTGTATGTCGATTATCTGAATCACTTTATGGTTTGAAACAGTCTTTGCAAGTTTGGTTTAGGAAGTTCAATACTGTAATTTTATCACTCTATGTTTTATCAACATTATGCATCAAATTTAGTATTTCATGAGAAGATTAAGCACATTGAGATTGACTGACATTATGCATCAAATCTAGCATTTAATGAGAAGACAAGCACATTGAGATTGACTGTCAATTTTGCGAAGTCGATTGATCAACTTGCAAACATCTCACCAAGCCACTCATTGGTCCTTGTATTAATTACATATGCAACAGCTAGGTACATGAATTGTATGCACTAGCTTGAGAGAGAGTGTTAGAATATGACTAGGTTTATACAATCCTATAAGAATAGGAATAAGTTTACACAATCCTATTAGAATAGGAATAGGTTTATACAATCCTATTAGAATAGGAGTAGGAGTAGAAATAGAGTCTCGATGTAACAATGTAGATATAACAACAATTCAATAATATTCTTTTTCTATATTTCTCATAACTCCAACATATAATACCTTATACCTACATAACTATTTCGTGAAACAACAGTGATAACCTCAAATGGTCCATGGTTATAGTGATAAGGTTTATTTTGGTCTTCGATATATACTATAAAATTAGGTTTTGGGTCTAACTCACACCCCAAAAGCTTAGCTCAAATGGAGGAGGATTACTCAAACCTTATAAGGAGACCACCATATTATTAACCACTGATATGAGACTTTTTCTATCTTTAACATATATTAATGATTAGTGAATATATTATCCTTTATATATGCAAAAAGTGGACGATTTTTGTCCAAGTCAGTTTAACACCCTACAATTAATGGAAAAAGGCAAGTGGCAACAAATCTGAGTAAAAATCAAAACAAATAAAAAAACCAAACCTTCTTCCAAGGTATAAAGAGAGGGAGAAATACTTATGTTTTACAGCTAAAAATGTTTTATGTCAATAGTACATGATGGATTCAATGTGGGGGGACAGGGGGGGGGGGGGAGAGGGGAAACAATGACATATTGCCGTATTTAGTTAAGCTGATGGTTGTACAAGAATAGTGAGGAGCATTCAAAGGATGAGTTGTTGGTGAAATTAGTGATTTGCAGCTCAAAAATAATAATGAGAGCTCCAACAGGACCTCTTACTAGCCAACTGCCATAGCAGGTCCATCCTCTAGCAGTAATACCTCTGCTCATCTCTTGAACTCCCTGTTGGAACCATATAAATGAAATCCTTTGGAATGCCTGCAGAGTGGGCCTGTTAGTTGGGACGGAACGGAACAGGACGTGTAAGGGGTATCAGGATAGGACAGAGCATGGTAGGGGAAAAGGGATGATTGAGTATAAGGGGGGACTGGGAAGGGCTACTGCACCGGCCCACATTCCGGTGCCTGGTGGGCCGGGTTGTATCGGTACATGATGGGTGGGTTGGGATTTGACAGGATGGGATGGAATCCAGGGGCATTATCTTTTTTTTAAATTGTATATAAACACGGGAATATTTGAACAATAATAATTCCAAGGCTAAAAGCCTCTTATTTTAGATAAAAAAAAGTTTTTTTATATTTTTTTATACAATTTCTAGTTTGCAACATAGTATTTCAAGTTCAAAAGTTGCAAATTACTCGGTAAAATTTGTCTTCAAAGAAAAATACGTAACTTTAGAGACTTCATCCAATTGTGCTATAGGTTCGTGCATCTCTTCCATTAAAATTGGAACATCTTTGTCAAATTCCTCGCATTCACAGTTGCAGCTTCCTATTTGTAGGATCTTATTATAAATCGTGTCATCTTCATCATTAACCTCTCGGTGGCCAAAGTTTCTTCTCTCCGCTTTGATCCACTTTCTGAATGAGTCTGCAATGTTTAAGTTGTCCCCCGCCAACAAGAGTCTTTGCTTTTCAAGATGGAACCAGTGTACCAAACGTAGACGTATAATTGAGGTTGATAGTTGAAACTTGTTCATTCCCCAAGCTAGTTGCCAATTTCACTCTCAATTTCCAAATAATTAATAGCATATAAAATATTTCAATGTGGAGTAGGACGTTGCAAATTACATAGTAAAATTTCAATACTCTGGCAATTTTTGAGAGAGATTAAAGAGACGGTAGGAAGAGAAATGAAAATGGAGTATTTATTGTTGAGAATCAAGGCCAAAGTGTAATTTCTTGAACTTGTGGATAAAAATAAATTTTATGGGTTTTGGGGGCCGTTCTAGCCGTTTCAAACAGATATTTCTTCTGAAGGGCTGTTGGGGTAACAACTATTTTGGTCCAACTTTTTAAAATAGAATTCCTTTTATAACAGGACCAGAATTCAGATGGGCTAACCGAGACTGGTTCGCCAAGTTCCAATTCCTCATTCCACCCTAATACCCCTACCCTCCCGTCAAAGTGGGATGGAGACAGCTGGGCTCACTAGACACCCTTACTGCAGATTAGCCCTCTTGATGAGCATCAACAAAAATAACTCGAACTTATTATGCTGCCTTTTGGAACAATTTAACCAAACAGTTTGCATGGCAAAAATAGCTTTACAGGCTCGTTCTATATACAGGGAATGAGAAGCACTTGTACCATACATAATTCTATGTTTCGTTTAGTTTTGTTACCTACTGAAGATATTTACTTAAGTGATAAGACAGAAAAACTTCAGTTCAGGTTCTATGAAATTAAGGTCCTTTTGATTGTCCCACATTTGGTTGAGTCAGTTCAGTTGGAGAAGAAGTCTGGTTTGTTTGCTTATTTTACTTTCAACTGCTGTTCGGTTAAATGCTTGCAATTCTCCCTTGGTTATGGAGGTTTTCTGCCAGTCTTAACTCTTACATACTTAGCCACTTAGGGGACTATTTGTATTCAGTGGTACTTATTTAAGGACCAATAAACTTACAACTGTACATCGGAGACCGTTTAGATTCTTTCCTCTAAATAACCCTGGAGAGTATGTTGCTGGATTATTGTTTTTCTCAATAATTATATTCCTTTATTGATTTTCTGTAGCTAGTGGAATTCAGATTTGCCAAGAAGATTTCTTCTGAGTTGGATGAGAGGACATTTACCATATGCGGAATGGCAGATTCTCTAGCTCCAGAAATAGTCCAAGGAAAAGGCCATGGTTTTGCTGCTGACTGGTAAAATCCTACTTCCCTATCAGCCAAAATTTGTTTTAGTACTACATATGACTGAAAAAAGCTAATTCAGTTATTGAAGGATTGCAATTATGGAGGTAAAGAATTGGTTATCTTGGATCTATTCTGAGGAACCTAGTTTAACAGAGAAGAAGTGCAACAGAAAGCAATTAGCGCAACATTTTGAAATTGCCCTAATTATTATTATTTTATTTTTTTGATAACCAAGAAATCCGTCTGTGACCCGCCTCCTTTTGGACCAATCGCAGCCTTCTAAACTCGGTGGATAATGGGCCCGCCCCTCTACCCTGCTCCACTTGAATACCGGGCGTCACTTTGCATGGCGTGGGGCTTGAACCTTCAATCTAAGGCACAAATCCTCCATCTTTTGCCACTCGAGCTAGGCCTTGGGGGCGAAATTTCCCTAATTATTGAAATGCTTAAGAGAAGTTTTACAAAGATGCATGGTTCTGCCTATCGTGATGTCTAAAATATAGTTGGTTATCCAAGTGATTCAGTGAGTATAATGATGTGATGCAAACATCACTAACGAGCATCAGCAGCCATTTATCCCTCTTACCTTTGGAATTTCTTAAAGCTTGAAATAATTACTATAGGCTTCTATGCATCACATACTACCAGACCAGATTCTTAGTCTGATTGATTAACTTGAAAGAAGTGTACAGTTATCATGCTTTGGTAATTATTTTCAGATGGCAGTTATCTGGAAGTTGTGAATCTTGAAATGATAAGTGTCCCATATCTTCTGACTGTAAGATTACAAATGTGAATCTATCATTTTGTTTTATCTTCTATGTAGTGAGTGGTTTTGTGTGCATGTATAAATATTTTGTGTGATACATCAAAGGGGGAAAAGATATTTTACCCATGACCTCATTGTCATGAGGTATGAGTTTAGCTTTACAGTACCCGAGCTTGTACTCTGAAAGCATGCACAATAGGATCGTTACTGCCTCTAGAATTGTACTTAATCCAATGAAGATTACTCTTTCATGAGAGATTATTCACTCGAGTTAGAGCAGTATTTGGAAGGCAAACTTGCAGCTGTACCTGTCTGTTCTTCTCTTGTTTCTTTTCTGGGATTTGGAATGAGGAGATAATGAAGTTAGATAGGTTGCTCTTTCATGGTGATAGTAATTTAGAAACAATCCAAACTCTTCAAAATGATGAAGGTGTATAGTGAAAACAGGTAGAAGTAATGTAAATTAATTCTTAAAACCCTTGAAGGAACAAATGTTTCAGGTTGGTTAGTTTGTGAAGGGAGAAGCTGCTGCAAACTGAGTTAACTGGAAGATGATGATGAGTGACTTGAAAGGACACCTACTCAAGCATTTCCTACTTTCCCTCTGTGTCTTTCTCCTTGAAGAGGAGTAAATCAAATTTCCTAGTGCCCCCCCACCCCCACCCTCCTCCACTTGCATTGACTATCATGTCTTCGGAAGCGTCTTTTAGTTGCTTCACTGGACAGACTTCTTTTTTGAGCAAGAAACTATGTAGAGATATCATGCTTCTTCGAGTCTTCAGCTACATTAGATTTCTCAAAATGTCATGATTGCTTATTTTGTGGCACAAGCTATTTCTCCAACTTGTGTTCTGGTCTGACATTTGCTAGTTGAAATTGGCAGGTGGGCTTTGGGAACATTGATCTACTTCATGCTACAAGGTGAAATGCCATTTGGTTCATGGAGAGAGAGTGAGCTTACATTTGCTAGGATTGCTAAAGGACAGTTGACACTTCCACATACATTCAGCCCCGAAGCTCTTGATCTCATTGCCAAGGTATCACCAGGTCTAAAAGAATTGATTGCTTTTATACATTAGAGGATTTGAATTGGAAAAATTACTGATTATATACATGACTTAATAATGCATTACTTTCTTATCTATGATTCCATTCTATTTGTCCTTCAAAACAACAGCAAGGCTATTGGCTTTTTATTTTTTAAATACATGTTCTCCAATTTCTTGGTATCCTTTCCAGTATCTTGACATAAATTTTGTGCCAGTTACTTCAAGTTGATGAAAATCTAAGACTCGGAAGCCAAGGTGTTGACTCTATAAAAAGTCATCCCTGGTTTCTTGATGTGGATTGGAAAGCAATAGCAGATCATCGAAGTCCTGTTCCTGCAGAGATTCTCTCTCGTATAAGTCAACGCTTGGAAAACCATGGTGATGAGAACATAGCTTCCCTACATTCCCCTAATCGTGACATGGAGGAGCTTAACACTCCAGAGTGGCTTCAAGACTGGTAGCACGTTTTTTATTGGAGTTCTGCCCATCACATTCCATGATGACGCTACCAACAAAATTGATCAGCTTATTGTTTCATAACTGTCCCTACTAGAGAATTCAAATCAACTGAGTGAGGTGGTGCATCTAGATCATGTTCTCCTGTTCATCAACATGTGACCCTCCTAGAGAGAAAATGTCTTGCTGCTTTTCTTGGACATTTATTTGCTTATGCTAGATGTTTTATAAGGTTCATACTTGTGTTATTTTGTGAAAATTTTCCATGCCTATGTAAATACGTAATATGTAAATCAAACACAGAGTCCTTTTATTGCATCCTAACAAGTCTCCCCATCCCACTCCATCAAAAAAGAAGATATGTATCTCTTTAAAGTGTCCATGGCATAGAGAAGCCTTGTTGCACCCAGTTTATCAGATTTGTGGTCATTTATATGTTTTTTTTTAAAAAAAATGAAGAGCTTTTTGTTCTATAAGGTATTCTCCAAATTGGAGTTGTGTTTCTTTGTTTTTGAACCTATTGTTGCTGTTATTGAGGTTCCATGTGCTTTGTATTGAGTGGTGGAGATTTCACCAAAAGCATGATATACTGATTGCATTTGGTTTGTTGAGGGAGTAACTACAAATGGATTGATGGACATATTCTTTAGCTTAGTTAACTTTTGCTATATTGTTTGTAATTGCATATGAGTTATTGTTTGCAAAATAGCCCCTTGCATGGTGAAGATTTTGTAATAGTAGTTGTAGCCCCACTTCTCAGTTGAGTCGACAAACAAATATTCAATAGAAAAGATGGAAGAAAAGCACAAAATGATATTTACCTAATATGGGATGTTAAGTACAACCCTAACGAATCTTCTGCTTTATTTGGCTATCTAAGTTGGCATATTTGGATATCGATATGGCACTTAGAATCATGTGAATCTTAGTATTCTTTGCCGATCTGAGTTCCCACTTCATATATTTTTTTTTATATATATTTGTGGTCCAATGAATGTGAGGGTAAGGTTTGATACTACATATTTTACTACATTTATTGATGATTTCATGTGTTTTCATTATGTCTATTTCATTTCACATAAATCTAAAGCATTTCAGTGCTTTAAAAGATATATGAATGAAGTTTAAATTAAATAGATAAAAGCATATAGGTTTTAAAAACTGATCGAGGACGTGAATATTTGTCAAAAAAAATTAAGTAATTATGTACTGAAAAGAGAATGTCAGATAAGTAACTACTTTTTATGCACTTCAACAAAATGGTGTAGTGGAAAGAAGGACCAGAACATTATTAGAGATAACTAGGTCAATGATGGCCCAGACAAATTTGTCCATCTCTTTTTAGGGAGACGCACTATTGATTGCAGCCTACATATTGAATAAGGTGTCTTCAAAATCTCTATCTTCGACACCTTATGAATTTTGGTCTGGTCATAACACAAACCTGTCGCGGGGTTGTGCTGATAACAATAGAGAAATCAGACCAAAAAGAGTTTGAAAACTATTTTGTCTTTCTTATCTCTACAATTGATAAACTATCCACTACTTATATACAAAGGTTAAAGCCTAATTCCAGCATAATATCATATCAAATCATATCGGATATGATTTAGAATCATATCAGATATTTGGAATAATAACAAATCATATCTGATGTGATTTAGAATCATATTGATATTTAGAATTGTATTAGATATGATTTAGAATCATATCAATTCATATATGATATGGTCAATATCCCCTCTCAAATTGATGCTACTTATCAAGAAGTTGATGTCTGGTCCTTCTCATCGCTTTTGTAAACAAGTTTGTCAATTGATCATGGTGGACCAAATTTGTTGCTATTTATATTGCACTAGTATTGTCAACATGTAATGTAGTGGAGCCATCAACAGAGATATTCGACATATCCACACAATTTCAGAGCAAGCGGCTGACATTGATCGATATTCTACCTCTGTTGATGACTTTGAAATTCTTGGTTGCTTCTTGTACTTCCATGAGATAAGTGATGGTCTGATTAACATACATCATCCTATCGTAGACTTTCGATATTGGACATCCTGTTCAATCTGCATCTGCATATCCTTCGAGATTTAGAGTTGATGCTGAATGAAATAAAAAACCTTGATTAATTATACTCCGAACATAGGAAATGATTCTGATGAGGGCAGATTAATGATGTTGGCAAGGATTTGTAACAAATTGGCTCAAGACTTGAACTGGATAAGAGATGTCAGGTCTTGTTATTGTCAAATAAATTAGCAACGAGCCTCCTGTACAATGTTGGTTCTACAAGATGGTCACCATCATCATTTTTGTACTTCACATTGATCTTCATAGGTGTGTGAGCTACATTCTGATCATTAAGACATGTTTGTGTGACGAGATCCTCTGCATACTTCCTTTGACTTAGCATAATACCATCCTGTAAATATTCAACCTCCCACCCCAAAAAAATATGTTAACCTGCCAAGGTCCTTCATTTTGAAAGTTGCATTAAGAAGATCCTTGAGTTGTACAATTCCATTCTCATCATTACCGGTTATAATTATATCATATACATACAATAGTAAAATTGTCATACCAGTATTGGAGTGCCGAATGAATAATGAATAATGAATAATGAATAATCAGAAACAGATTGAGAAAATTCAGCATTTATGATGACAAACCATATCAAGTTAAGCTTGGTTGTACCCTGGAGGAGGCTTCATGTATATAACCTTATGTAGTTAACCACGTAAGAATGCATTTTTCACATCCATTTGATAAAGTATCCACCGTTTGATGGATACTATAACGAGCAATACACGAATTGTCATCATCTTTGCAACAGGAGCAAAGTTCTCCTCATAGTCCAATCCATATTCTTGTTTATATCCCTAAGCTACTAGTCGAGCTTTGTACCTCTCCAATGTCCATCAGAATTCATTTTCACAGAATAAATCCATTTGCTTCCAATAACAGAAGCTTTAACCGGTTTGGATATGAAATCTCATGTGTGATTTTCTTCTAAAGCGGAAAGTTCCTTTTTATTGCATTTTTGCAGCAGTAATGACTTGATGCATTTTGGTAAGTATTTAGGACAATTATAGAATTCAAAGTAGCAAGTAAGGCGTAAGATCGACCGTATCTACCTGGAGAGTATCCATATCAATTTGGGGCAGATGTTTTACGTTCAGAGTGACGAAGAGAAGGAATGGAAGAATTTATTTGGCCACTTGGTACTGGTTCACCATCAGAGTTATCATTATTGTCATATGAGTCAGTGAAAGAGAGTTATTCAATGATTTGTGTTTAATGTACTATTACATGAGTCAGTGAAAAAGGTATTCAATGATTTGTGTTTAAAGTACTATTACCTAAATTATTCGTAGGGAATGCATCTGAATGACCAGGATCATCAGTATTGCCATTAGGGTCTTTGTTGAGAGATGTGAAATTTTGTTCATGTTGATTCTTAAACATGTACAGAAAGGAGACAGAGTCTGATATTGTTGAAGTGGTAATGGGGTAACCAAACTGATGCTCAAAAAAAATTACACGTCTAGAAACCCGCAACCGTCATCTAGAAGAATCATAACAAAGATAGCCCTTTTGAACATCATTATAACCCAAGAAAACACACCTCGCATATTTAGCAGATAACTTATGACGTTCATGTCTGAGTAAATGTACAAAACACACACAACCAAAAACTTTTAGATGAGAATAATCTGGGAGTTTACCAAAAAGAACGGAATATGAACTATCATCTTTGTTAATTGTAATGATGTGTCTATTTATCAAATAGACAGAAGTTTGGATAGCTTAAACCCAAAATATTTTAGGAACATTTGATGTATCAAGAAGAGCTAATGTGGTTTCCAAAACATGCCTATTTTTCCTTTCTACAACCCCATTTTTCTCAGGTGTGTATGGACAAGAGTGTTGCAAAGTAATGCCTCTCTCATTGAAAA